GAGACCCAAGGGAAGTGAGAGGATGCACCGTGTGGGCGTGGGACTGGGTGTATCTTTCTTTATAACAAGTCATTTCAAAAGCAGCAGCATAAAGCGCCATGCTTATCCCAAGTAAGAATCTAGGAGGCAGCCTAGTTGGGTGTTTGTGCTCAAGGTATCTTAAAAGGATGAGATCAAGTTGTCAGCTAATACTTCAGGCACCTCCAGGATCAATCGGGACTGGAGAATTAGCTTTGCAGTTCACTGACATGGTTCTGGGCAGACTTCTGTTCATTAAGGGCTGTTAGACTGAGGACCTCAGGTCCTTGTTTCTCAGTAACTTTCTTCCCACAGGGCACATGGTGCAGGACCAAGAGCAAGAAAGAGTGCCACAGCCTGTGACAACCTCATCTGAGAAGTGACCCAGTGTTGTTCTGCTGGGTCTTTGTGCTATTGAGTGACTTTGTGACTTCGTGACTTCCCAGCCTTGCGTCTCTCCCCCACTTTCTTTTTCCATTCACACTTTTTAAAGACACATTTTAGCTTCCTGTCTTAATTTTTTTGTGCCATGTCCCCTTTGTTCCTTCCTGTAGCCAGCTCTTTCTCTTTGGTCAGGTAAATGTCCTCTGCCCAGGGTGAACTAGTAGCTGGAAACAGCAGACAGATCTGTTCTCATTTGATCTGTTTGTTTCAGACTTTCCTGGTTTTTCCTTAATGCTGTTTTTGGAAGTACCTCCTGCCTTCACTGATAGTGTGTGTGTGTTGCTTTCTGTTTCCCTGATTCTCTTCACCGCTAATGGAAGCAGTTTTCATTGATTTTGCTTTATTTAATTTAGTCATTTAAATATAGAATTTTTAGGCTTTTGTTCTTCACTGTACTTTTTTTCTGACCACAATCCAAATGAATTATCCCCAACACTCACCATGTCTATCACTTTATTTAAAAAAAAGGAAGTAGACATACTTTTCCATGTTTATTATTAATCATAGTTGTAAAAAGAATGAAAATCTTATTTTCCCCACCTTAGTTTCCATATCTTGTAACTCAGCAAAGTATTCTATCATTCTATCTTCCCTCCTTCCTGCCTCACCTTATTCCGGCCCTGTTGCCCTTGTACTAGTTCATCAGGGTACCGTTTCCTTTTGATCATGGGTCTCTAGATTAGCTCCAGTAGCTTGCCATCTAGCCTTGTTGTTGGCACCACTGTTTGAAACATTATCCTCAGTGTGTTAACACTAGGTCATCTAGCCACCATAGACCCCCGCATTAGTAAGGGTTCTCTAGAGCAGTGGTTCTCAACCTATGGGTCAGGACCCCTTTGGGGGGGGTCACAGATATCCTGTATATCAGGTATTTACAATACAATACATTACATTACAGTAGCAAAGCTATCGTTAATAAGTAGCAACAAAAATAATTTTATGGTTGGGAGGTCACTACAACATGAGGAGCTATATTTAGGGTCCAGAATTAGGAAGGTTGAAAACCACTGTCATTGAGGAAGAGAACTGATGAAGTGAATATATATCACAATGGCGATTTAATAGATTGTCCTACATGCTGTATTATGGGTAATCAGGCCTTGCACTGGAGGGACTGAGAACCTGGCAGCTGCTTATGCTATGTATTGATGGATAATTCTGACCCGCCTGGTCCCACAGATGTTCCGTCCCAAATAAACACACTGAGCCATCAGCCAAACAGTTTATAATGAATTTAAGCCTCCGTGTGTTTATTTGGGACTAAATGGAATAGAAACTTCTGTTGACAGCTATGAGGCTGGGTAACTTAGCAGTTCTAATTTAACACTAAAAGACTGGAATATTGTCACTGCTGGTCTAGCTTTGTTGGAAGGTAGGTTCTAATGTCAGCGGATTTATCAATAGTCATGCCACAATGAGTGAAAGCCTACAGGCAAAATCAGCGCTGGTTTTCCCTTTGACCTTTTTACATAATGAATACCCGCTTGGGGAAGAGCTAACCACCCAGTAGCATGTTCCCCTCTCATTTCATCTTTCTAGGAAACAGTCAGCAGATCCACCCAGAGGCATGTCTCTTAGTTGGTTCCACATCTAATCAAGTTGGTAAGCAAGTTAAGCATTACAACATTATCAACTTGAACATGCACTTCTGTCTTGCACACTTGTCATTTTCTCATCTGCTCTCTAGTGGTCTTCCTGGTTAAAAATTTGGGGTGGAGTCTACAGTACCTCATATTTAATATCAGTATATAGTAGGAAAGTTTTCAAATTTCCCTTTGGAGATATTAATGTTTTATTCTTCTATTCTTTTTGCTTCCATGCATTTACTTTTCTTAAACTGTCTTTAGTCTCCCTTTCATCTTCACACAGTTCACAGGCTGTTAAAGACAGGTCCTCATCTCTGTTCCGGGCTCTCCGTTACCTCCATCTCGCTTTCCACTGTTGTTAACGCCATTCCTTTTGTTTTCCCTCCTTTTATATAAGCATCTATTATTGTTCTTGCCCTATTACTTTTGTTGATCCTCCCCCCTCCCCTGCCCCTGCAGAGCACATGAGCTTGTCAGGGTTTGGTCTTTGACATCGGTATGCCAGGAACACTTAGTAGAGTCCTAGCGTTTTTTTACCATTTGGCAAATGTCAGCTGTATAGTTGGAGTGAGTCAGTGCAGCGTTGGTTATGGTTTTACAGGAGAAAACAATCCAGAAGCAATGCTCATTTGTATTTTTGCTTCAAAATTAGGGTCACTTAAGGGTAATCTACCTCTTGGCTAAATGTTAGTGGAGTGACAAAACAAGATAAACTGCTCCTGTAGAATATTAGAAATCCATAGTTTCCCCGTAGTGAGACTTGAGATATTTGTTTATAAATATGTATTTTCTGGTTAGGGTTTATACATTTTACACCATTTCTAAAAGATTCAACAGCTTTGTGAATGACCCAAAAGAGAACAAAAAGCATTTGGGGAAATTGTGGAGTCAGGATAATAGCATAAGTGAGTCACCTGTCTTGTGCAGTCCATGTTTGTAGCTGATTTACACATATGCAGGTGATGTGGGGTAGTCAAATGTTGTAATCCTAACTTAAGAGTACTTATTCTTTCTCACTCAATTCTTAGGAACACACTTGCCCTTTGGGGAGCTGGAGATAGAGCTCACCAGTCAAGGATGCTTGCAGCACCATAATAAGGACCCAACACTCATGTAACAAGCCAGATGTTCCCTGCACGCCTATAACCCCAGCGCTCAGTCACTGGAGCTGGATAGCTTCCAGCCTCAATAACGTACTGAAAGCCATGGGTTCATAGAGAGACCAGGCCTCAGAGGGTAACTGGAGCTGGCTGGTTTCCAGCCTAAGAAAACAAACTTAAGTACAGGGAAAGAACTGGCCTCAGAGGACTAGGTAAAGAGTGATAAAGATAGCATGATATGCTCTTCGTGTCTCTAGATATTCATAGATGCTGACAACAGGTATGCTTATATGCATATGTGCTTGTATACACACACACACACACACACACACACACACAGAGAGAGAGAGAGAGAGAGAGAGAGCGAGAGAGACAACATTTAGTTGACATTTCTGTCCTATAAGCATTATCAATAACAGTATTAATAATACATAATAGTTGCATTGGTTTTTCAGTCTCTTCTTGAAAAATCTGTCTCATACAAGAATAAGAAAACAGGATCAATAGCAGTATCCTGTGACTAGTATTGGTGACAAAATTGTTGTTGGATTCATAGACATATTGTTGACAAAACAATTGTTTAGTGAATCTTCAAGCTATTTCGATCTATCATTTAGAAGAAAGGAAAGATCAGTACCAAATCTGTGTCTCTTCAAAACATAGCATTATTGCTGCTCATTTCCCCTACATGTTTCATTAGTCTATCTCTCTGTAACTATTGTTTGTTTGTTTTGCTTTTTAGTTGATTATGTTACCTGGTAATAATGAATATTAGATGCGTTCTATTCTTACCTAGTATTAGTAGAAACTCACAACTATCTTACAAGTATTTCCCTCTTCTCGCATCCTTTTCTTCTAGGTATGAGACAAGTGTTAAGAAGCTGGAGAGCTGATTAAATCAGAGAAGGGGACAAACATCTCTCACCTCTGTGTCATGAAGTAATCTAGGTTAACAGCTACATAGGATATCTATTGACTTCAATTGTAGTGCTACAAAACTTTTGACCTCCAAACCCTCTTTTACTTAATAGTTAGTTGTGACTCCCAAATATATGTAGGGAAGATGGTCGTGTATTTCCAGCTACTTCCTTAACCATTTGAATGAGAATGAGGGAGGCGGGGAGCTGATGAGAGAGTTATAAACAACGGAAGTTTAGTTCTTCTAGCTTCTGAATCTGCGAAGTTCTAAGTCAGCAGTTCTCAGCCTGTGGGTCATGACCCCTTTGGGGGTGGAGCGACCCTTTCACAGGGGTCACCTAAGACCATCAGGAAACACAGATATTTACTTACAGTTCATAACTAGCAAAATCATTCTGATGAAGTAGCAACAAAAATAGTTTATGGTTGGGGCTCATCACAGCATCACGAAATACATTAAAGGGTCTAGCCATTAGGAAGGTTGAGAACCACTGCTTCAAGTCAAAGTGCCAGAGGATGTTGTGTTTACTGAATGACTTTTGCTTCCGGGACCATTGTTTTAGCACTGTGTTCTCAGGCAGCAGAGGAATGAGACGGAACTCTAGTGTCTCCTTTCAAGGCCCTGTTCACAACCTCTGGGACTCCACTTTAAAGAAGCCTTTTGTGTTTGTGTCCTTGACCTTCAGGTGGGGGACATGGAGGTTACCCACCACTTCCTCAGGACTGTATGCTGCCTCTCTCAGCTTTTCAGCAGTTCCAAGAGATTTGGGACTCCTTTCATATGTCATCATGTATTCTATTATAGTTGTATTATACATTTGGAGCCATGGTAGAACATTTGGTTCCCAAGCTAGATGGCTTAAGGGATAGATACTAGTGACCACACCTAATTACAGATGTGTTTGATTTTGTTTTTCAGGTTTTTCTAAAGAGTGACCGAGTGGCCAGAATGGTTCAGAGTGGAGGGTGTTCTGCTAATGATTTCAGAGAGGTGTTCAAGAAAAACATCGAAAAACGTGTCCGCAGCTTGCCAGAAATAGACGGCCTGAGCAAAGAGACTGTGCTGAGCTCATGGATAGCCAAATACGATGCCATTTACAGGGGAGAAGAAGACTTGTGTAAACAGCCAAACAGGATGACCCTGAGTGCCGTGTCTGAGCTTATTCTGAGCAAGGAGCAGCTCTATGAAATGTTCCAACAGATCCTGGGTATTAAAAAACTGGAACACCAGCTACTTTATAATGCATGCCAGGTAAGTGTTGTAATGTCTGCCCTTGCCATCTCTGACTCATGGAAGGAACATTGAGTGTTTTTCACCCTGTGAAGAAGTGTTTTACATTCTAGTTTACAGTCAAGTTTCTTGGATAGTTGAGTGAGATTGAATATTAATAAATTGAAGAGTGAAATTCGAAAGCATCTTTGAAAGAAGTTGGGTGGAGAGTGAAGAATGTCGGTGTCATTAGCCAGTCATGATTGGTCCCCTTTGCCCTATTTAAGGATGTCAGGTTTGTGCCTGCTAGGCACATACAGGGTGAGCCCCGAATAGAAAAATGACAATCCTCTGCTTCTTCAACAATGTCCCTTGTATATAATGAGCTGGTCCTCCTCAGTGCAAAGTAATTTATCATAAAGGTATAATGGTAGTTTTCAGTGTGTTATGGAAGTAATTGAAATTTCAGTTTTTTTTCTTTACTTCAGCCTGGAAGAAATGAATTGAGAATGATTGTTAAACTGGCTAATTTAAAGCAATGACAGCTAATAATATGTTTTCTCTTAAGTTGTAATTCTAGTTGTGAATATGAAAGATTGAGTAAAATCTCATATGGTTTTCATTTTTAGACTGAATGATTTGCCTAATAATGTATTCCTTAGGTATTTGCATTTTTTGCTTATTTTGGCTGTATACATTATTTAACTCAGCCCTAATATACAATTCAAATTAACAAAATTCTTCCATTTTAAAATTCATTAAGAATTGCACTTCTATGTTATATGCATATTTATTTTTAATCTTTCTGAAGATTTATTTCTCTGAATTTCCTATTCATCCTATTCATGTTCCTTACCTTGCATCACCAATTTGTGAATAATTTTAGATTAACAAATTAATAGTTCATTAATAATAAATTAGTATGTCCCTTAACCCTACAAACAATTTGTGCACTCGCTGTTTTCAGTGTGCCATTAAGCCAGCTGGTGGTTTGATAGTGGAGGATGACTGTAAATCACAATGTTATATATTAACAAATATGTACAACTAAGACATTGCACGCCATAGTGGCCACAGCGGTTCTTCTGTGCAGTTAATGTTGATGAACATCAATAAGTAATACAATTGAGATTCAATCGTGCTATAGGTATTTAGTGAGAATTTATTTATCAAAAGTCTAAGTTAAGGAAAACAAGCTGAACAAGCTGCTTTCCGTGTTCCAAATACAGTGTAGTGGCAGAACCTCCGAAATAATCATCTACAAGTTCCAATGTACTGCTTATGTAGGCCTATAAGGTATAACCCTGCATATTGCAGGGTTATGGTTATTAACACAAAATCCCTTGTCTTTATAAGACTGTTCTTTGAGATTTGAACCTTATAATTCCTGTCTTCTCTGACTTGCAGCATACAATACTTCTATTTCAAATCACTGATGTAACAGTGGATTTATATTTACATTCAGCTCTGTCAGAATTTGCCTCGGGTAGACATGTCTATTAGTACCTGTTCTGTCTTCTTGGAGAACTTCATCCTTTATCATCATGTTCTTTGTTGTTTCTCAAAAGCCTACTTTGTCTTAAACTAGCTGCCGCTTTCCTATGATTAGAGTTAGCATGGTGGATATGTTTTGCTTGTGTTGACTTTTCACATTATTATAAAATTCTTTATTTTTAAAGATACAATTGGGTCTTGAATGTTTATTTGTTTTGTTTTGTTTTATTTACACCCACTCACATAGTTTTGTCTTGCAGTGCCTGTGTTTAAATGACTCATAATTAAAGTGATTACTGCAGTTGACTTAAATAATATAATCCTTTGCCTTTTCCTCCATTTTCCTTTGCCCCTATCTCATTTTCTCTCTTCTGTAATTTTTAACACTTTTTGTGATTTCGTTTTATATCTTCTATTGAGATAGCATACATATTCAGTTTTTTTAAGTATATTTACTAGGTGTCCTAAATTATGCTTTGTAGATCTTAATATAGCCTAAATCCTCCAGCCTGTGACACTGGAGGACTTTCAGTACAGTTCTGTTTCCCCATAACTCAGGGTTCCCATGTCTTTCCTCCCTTCTCAGGTTGTATTGATATAATCATCTTGACTGTAGTCATTCAATATGTTGTGACAATTATTGTTTTAAACCGTTAACTTTTCTGTTATGAATGAGACATTCTTCATTACTGTCACAATGCTTTTTTTAACACTGGCATATTCTGTTGAGTTTTAAACTTTTCCCTTTGAAACTAGCAGCATATTAATAGTTGTAATTAAATCTCCTTGTTTGACAGTCGTTTCTGGCTCAGATGTTTGCTTTGTCCCTTCACAGTCTTTTACATGCATCTCAGATTATTCTAGAAAGCAGGTATGCTATGTCAGGTGATAGCTTCTAAGATAATAAGACTTTCTTGTGAGAACTGTGCTAATCTCACCATGGATTGGGTTGAGCCTGTTTCCTGGGGCCATACATACTAGAAGCTTCAAAATCCTCCCAGTATGCTTGTGTCTCTGTTTTTTTTTTCTTTTTTATTGACTAATCATATTTGATGATTTCATACTTGTTTATAATGTATTATGTTTTCTCTCTTCCCCACACATTCTCACTTCCCTTCCATCTCTAGCAACTCCCTCGATCTCTACTAGCCCCTTTCCCAGATTCATGACTTCTGGGTTTGTTTATGACACACTTAGTTTAACCAGGGCCATGATGTGGCAATTAGATTGGAACTGACTTCTTCTATAATGTACATACATTTATCTATAACCTTTTTGCAAATCTATTTCTCTTAATTTCTGCATCCTATTCATGCTCCTTACTTTGCATCACTAATTTTATTGGGAATAATTTTAGATGAATAAATTAAGAACTGATTAATAATAAAGTAGTATGTCACCTAGCACTGCAAACAATTTCATGCACTTAGGGCAATTGTTTTCACTGTGTCATTATGACTGTGGGGATCATCAGTGGGTATAACTGAAGGCAATGATTTGCTCTCTCCGCGAGTCTGTCAGCAGGAAATAGTTGAGCAGTGAAGAGTAGGGTGCCATAACTTCTCCACCCATGCTTGTTTCTGTCCCTGTGTTCCTGGATTCTGAGCTTCCTAAGCACTCTGCAGAGAGGCTGTATCTCACATCTGTTTTGGCTGTTGTCTGTTGCTGTGTTGGAGATGTAGCTATAGCAATGTGCTGGAAAGGGGAAGGGGTGCTTTTAGTCTAATTAAATCTTTTGGGGGACCTATGTCTGTGTGATAGAACCTTTGTGTTTCTGTTTTTTGTCCAGGGGACTCATTCCTTCCTACCTCAGAATCCCTTATTTCTTTCTGTACTGCAGATATCCCGGTGTATTTTCCTAAACTCTGTTATTCTGATTACTGAGCTTTTGTGGTTTGGCTTTTCTTTCTCCATTAGATGAGACAGGAAAGCCACAGATGTGATGGTATTGTTTTACTGAAGCTGGAAGAAGTGTTCAACATTTCCCAGTGGCAAAATCTTTCCCTCAGTTGGGAAAAGGATCTGATAAATTTGGGAAAAGCCTTCCATTCTCCCTTCCATGGCTACTTGGGACACTCTCTTGGATGTTTGTTACTAGAAGGAAAGTCAGTGAGACAAGGAGTGTCCTTAGTCTCTGTATTTAGCTTAGCATCAAAAGTACTATGTAAGCAAGCATTCTACGAGGATGTCATCTGGCGCCTGCTCATTCAGATAGTATACCTTTTGAATTTGTGTTTTTCTCATTTTGATTAATGGGTTCCCCAGGTTTGGGGTCTATAAGAAATATCTTTGTCTCTGGGGCATGAGATGGCTTTTTGGAGCCCATTCCCTTAGTCAGCCTTGATGTAGCTGGGAGGGGCTTGGTCCTGCCTCAACTTGATGTCCCAAGCTTTACTGACTCCCTATGGGGAATGGATTAGGGGGTGGGATGTGGAGGAGGTGCGGCTGGAGGAGGGAGGGAGGGGAACTGTGGTTGTTATGTAAAATGAATAAAAAATTTAAAATAAAAATTGACTTTTTCTATCTGTTCAGCTTTTGCGTTTAAGAAAAGGAGTGATGATGGTTCAAGCTCCTTGTGTTTGAACTGAAAATAGAATTCTTTTGAGTTCTTGACTGAAGAAAGGTTTAGAGATTGGTCCTTAAAAAGAAGTAAAAAGGCAGGGCCAAAATAGTTCAGTTGAGAGAGTGTTAAACTGAAAAATTAGTAAAAAAAAAAAAAAAAAAATCACAAAACCAACTCTCTTGGGGGTTGGTCCTGAGGAATTACAGTAGTTTTGCAGAAATTATGAAATAAATTAAGAAAACAAACTAGATTCTCTTTTCTGCAAGTGAAGTACATGCACACATGCCACCCCTCCTCTCCCTCTCCTCCCTCTCCCTCTCCCTCTCCCTCTCCCTCTCCCTCCTCTCTCTCTCTCTCTCTCTCTCTCTCTCTCTCTCTGTGTGTGTGTGTGTGTGTGTGTGTGTGTGTGTGTGTGTGTGTGTGTATGTACATGTTGGGTTTTACTTTTTGTTATTGTTGTTGTCTTCCAACAAAATTTGTAAAGGAAAGAAAGGCAGAAGTCACAGAAAACACTTTGTGTTTTATTAGAAAGAAATATTCTGGAAGAGAAATAGCAAATCTGGTTTTGAAAAGCACAGAGGGGGCCTCATCTAAACAAGCTGCTGGAGCCTGTCTGCAAGCTTCCTGACACACAGGAAAGGGTTACAACTCCTCATGGCACAGTCTTCCTTGTGTTCACTCTTGCATAGTCTCTTGGTTTTGCTGGCAGTGGTCCAATAGAAAATAATAAAAACATATTATATATGTTATGGTCAGAGATTCAGATTAGAGAGCTGTTCAGGGACACGTGGAGGACCCAAGCAGCCGGTGGATTTTGGTGGCCTGGAAAATGGAGACAAAAGGCCTGGAATGAGAAGAGACTTTTGCCATGGCTGCCCCTGGCACCTGCTAGAAGTCACCTAGTCAGATCCCTTGTCCTAAAGCTGCATAGTAACACCTGTCTTAAAACAATAGAAAGCTAATGTTTAAAAAGCACAGCCATTAA